TCCGAGCCGAAACTCTCCCTGAGTTGGAGACGAGCTGCGCGGATCGAGTCGATCAATAACCTCAGTGACGTCACCCTTGCTGCGCAAGGAAGACTGTGGTTGTCGCGAGTAGTCCTCAACCACCAATAGGAAGTAACGCTCGTGCCCCTGTCCAAGGACGCGGCCGGGGCCCCACACGTCCATATGGAGAGTCTGCAGCGGAGCCTTGTTAGGGGAAACTCAGGGGTTGAGGGGCGGCGCAATGTCGCCCCTCGACGCAGGGGACGCAAGTAGGGCCAGGCCCCGGAAGTAGGGGAGGGAGACACCGGGGAGACCAGAGACAAGGACACGGGAGGCCATGCCTCGGAAACGAGGCAGGGAGGGGTGACCAAGGCGGTGGTGCCAAGGGAGAGTGTGGTGGACAGGAGACGACATGAGCAGGGAGCAGACTCACGACCAGACCTGGACGCTGCAGCAAACACCTGACTCGACGCAGCTTCCTGGCCTGACTCAGCAGCCGGAGGAGACTCAGTAGTAAGGGTGTACAGGCTCGACCCTGGCCGACGGGTGAGCGTGGCAAGTGTCGGCCTGTCTGAGCACACGTGCAGTGGGTCACCCGCTGACGAGCAGGAGTGAACTGGTCAACCCTCCTATCCTGTAGGTTCGCTCCACACACCAAGTTCGTAGAGAACAGGGGAGGTAGAGACCTGACAGGGTGCCAGAGAGGGCTGCCGGGCACGGTAAGACAGTGGAGAAGCTAGCAAGGACAGGACCCCCAGAGGGGTTTGCAAGGGAGACTTCAATCGGCCGACCATGTGGCGTAGCGTGGTGCGGTCTTGAAAGAAGGAGTGGGATGCACCGAGTCGAGGGTGAAGGTGTGTAAGGCCTGAGCAACGTAATACCTGAGAGAGCAGACTCACCAGCACCTGGGGTAGCAGAGGCACTAGCACCCAGAGCAGCAGCCTCACCAACACCTAGAGCAGTAGCCTGAATGCCCGGATCAGGCGGTACACACAGGTAACAGTCACCCTCAAACACTAGCAGTCACAGCATACATGGCAGCAAGGATAGCATCATAGTCAAGATCAAAGATGGCAACCCCCGGCTAGACAGATCTGCCCAGCGAGGGATCTCTAACGCCTCAGGGAACTGGTGAAGCCACGCGTTCATCACGTGCCGAAGCAGCGCTAGGTGGAGTGCGGGCCCCCGCACTGCTCACCAGCGCGGTGCCGGTACGGAGGAGATAAGTGCAGGGACCAGTACCCCCACCGCGCTGACGCGCAGCGTACCACTCACGAAGCTGCTGAGGGGACGGGTTTCACGACCGCACTGCTGGTGCTGGCGAGAACCACCACCAGACCCACTTCTCTGCGCAGAGTCGCGACCACCTCCACCCCCGCCTCGACACCTCCGCCACCTCCGCCGCCTCCGCTCCTCCGCCACCACCGCCGCCTACTCTGCCTCCACTGCTGCCACCGCCGCCGCCACCCACCCTCCACTGCACCACCACCACCTCCACCGCCCCCGCTAGCCCCTCCAACTCCCTTGCCCGCCTTGCCCTTGCCGGTGCGGCGTCTCCCGCTACGGGCAGACGCAGCGCCGACCCCGTAGATATCAACAAGGTCGGCAGCAGCAGCAGAAGCAACAGAGGGCAAGAGGGGGGAGGGGGAACACCACCTCAAGACGAGGGGTGCGAGGGTCATCACGAGAGGCTCCTACAAGCGAGTATGCTCTTCTCTGCTGCTAGGAGGCGCTGCTCGAGGTGGTCAACGGTGAGTGCGTCGGGCAAACTGAGAGGAAGTGGTCCCTAACTAGCGAAGAGAGTCAGGGAGCCGGGTGACTATGTAGTAGAGGGTGATGAACATGGGGGGAGGGGGGTTCTTGGCGTAGAACTGAGTGGGAAGCGCAGCGCGGTAGCGAGTGTCACTAGTGCGGAGGTGCGTAATGAGGTCAGCAATTGTGGGGAAAGGCAGCAAGGTCAGGGAAGAGGTACGATAACATGAGGCGGCTCAGTGCAGTAGTGGCAGGGGGAAGAGTAGCGTGCAACTATAGCATCGTACAAGGTCTGAGCACTCTTGTACTGGCTTAAGTGCGCACGCTCAGTGGTCAGTAAGTGGCCACGCACAGCAAGACGAGCAGCAGCATCGCGTGTCACCCACTGTGAGTGAATAGTTCTGTCAGCAGTGGCAGACGGGGCAGGGGAGGCACCAGAGGTGAGGTCGAACAAGGAGAGGCCGTCTGGCCCTATCGCACTGGAGGAACAACTGGAGGTCATCGACCCGGACCTCAAAGTCAACAGCACAACCCTCATTATCAAAGGTAAGAACACTGGGGGTAGCCATGACTGCAGTGGCCTAGTAAGGAGTGCGCTCACCAGTCGGAGTTAGTAGGCAGGGGCGCATCGGTAGGACGAGGAGCGGCTCGACGGCAGGGCGGCTCGGCTGCTTAGCGGCTCGGCTGTTGGGCGGCTCGCTTGCTTAGCGGCCTGGCTGCTGAGCGGCTCGCTGCTGGGCGGCTTGGCTGCTCGGCTGCTGGGCGGCTCGGCGGCTCTGCTGCTGGGCAGCTTCGCTGGTGGGCGGCTCGGCGTCTCTGCTGCAGGGCTGCTCGGTAGGGGCGGCGTTGGGGCCATTAGGGGCGGCGACGGGGCCGCTTAGAGAGGGGAGCGGCGACGGGGCGGTGTAAGTGGCGGCAACAGGGCCGCTTAGAGGCGGGGACAGGGCTGCGTAGGGGTAGCAACGGGGCTGCTTAGGGTCGGCGACGGGGCCGCTTAGGGTCGGCGACGTGGCCGCTTAGGGTGAGGGGCGGCGACGGGGTCGCTAGGGGGTGGCGACGGGGCCGCTAGGGGCGACGACGGGGGCCGCGTATGGGCGGCGACGGGGCCGCGTAGGGGCGGCGAAAAAAGCGCGTAGGGGCGCGTAGGGGCGGCTGGCAAAAAGGCGCGCCTCGGGCAGGAGCGTCTGGCACTCCAGTCAGAAAATGAAGTTTTCAGTGATGGGCCCAAGGAAGCGTTCCCACTAAGGAACCTGCTCTATACCATGTGAAGAATGAGGAATGGATGAACTAGCACAGAGTTGGGTACATGTAGGAAACCCTAGGAAACTGTACCTCATAGTGTCTACCCCACTATAGCCTACACAAGCTATATAATATGAGTTTGACACGGTGCCACATGAGCAATTTGCGAAGGTGTGTACCTCCAAGATTTAATCCAAGAGGCGCAAATTGCGACATCCGTGAACATCAAACTTCATTGCGACAACCAAAATGCAATCGAAATTGCTAGCTATCTTGGCTTAGTCAACCGCACCAAAAATATCGCACTCCGGTAGTTTCTCATCGAAGTCCCAACACAAATATGACTAGAGTGAGGATGAAGACCAAGGGACATTGACTGTTATCAGAGGCCGTTGCAAGTAGGAGTTGTGCAAAATTCAAGAAGCGGAAAAACCATTTGAATTGTTACTGAACCACATGGATTTCCTCAACTAGACTAGCGCTAAAGAGAATGTACCCCTGTAGAGTATGTGGCTAGCTAGGACCCTTCATATTCCCGTGTATTCCCTTCTGAATCACTGTGTCATTTTGTTATAGCACAACAAATAGGTTCCATACCCAATCACAAGCAACCTTCAGCTGCAACACTCAATCAACCTGACACGATCCAACAAAAACTTCACTTCAGATTGTAACACCATTTACACAAGAGAGAGCACCGTATTCTCCCAGATAAAACACCCTAGGGTATTATGAAAACCTCTGGGAAAAAAAGGGGGGGGGGGGGGGGGGGGGGGGGGGGGTGTGGGGGGGAGTATAGTTCAAACGGGGTCGGATATAACACCCACCCCGTATTAGCTACCCGGGGGTGTACAATTACGGGGGGTGTTTTATCCGAGAGAATACGGTATGGGAAATTTGATAATCATAATGTTCATTTGTTTTTCAATTACAACACCAGCCATTTTTCTTTATCTAACGTCCCCTTCGCAACACCACCGCCACCAGCTCCACCAAGCTTATAGAACCCCGTGAAAGTGCAATTCTAGTGGAGGAGCTGGTGTCCAACTTCAATAGAATGTTAATATAGATAGCGTAGAAGCAAACGGCCATTCTGGTCAAATGTTGCAGCTCCCAATTCTTGCCTTGTTTGGACTTGGCGTGCAAATCTTCACTCCAGGCTTTAAACGTATCTACGCATTCATACCCATTCATTCTCCTGTAGCAGCCCTTGATGCTGTAGAAGTACCCTCGCATTAATGTACTTGCAGTCATCCCCTGGTGAGAGGGTGTACGTGCTGGTTCTGGAACAGATGCCTGCTGTGAAGTTGGTCGCGCTGCCAATGCAGACCTGCAGCCACAAGAGAAGTGGCTCGTGTCATGGAGTGGAGTAGGCAATGGGGGAAAAGCAGCAGCAGGGAACAACGGTCATTTGCAGAGGGCAAAGCACACAAACATAGAGTGCTTGAAAGACACCAATTTGCAGCACTGCTGGCATGAGCCTAAACTCCACTCAGCATGACCCTGGCATAAAAGTTATCATCCCTTTATCCGTTTTCTCAAAGTGACGTCATTCCTGATTTTCTTGTCAGTTATCTCTATGTCACCGGTGCGAGTTTGCCATCAACCGTGGTCAGGGTTCCCATCCCATCCTGTTGGGGTAGACTAGAATTTTCTCTAACATGCAACATCCTTAGAGTTTCCGGTTATGCTCTGACGTTTCTCTGATATCAACATTTGTTGGGCCACCTTCTCAATGTCCCCCGACTGCACACCACCGGTTGATTATGCCATCGTTGACCAATTATGCGACCATGTGGTGCTGTCCACACGTACCTCACGCCACCTGCTCACCAGTTTTCCACAGCACCTGAATAACTGAGCCGTCAACTTGACTTGGGTGTCTCACTCAATTGCTTAGCCAACTTGTATCTCTAGTCTTTTCTTCCATGGAAGACCGTGCACCACATTGCTTAACTATCCCCATCCATCATGCTGCATGCACCCTACTCCATGCACCACTGTGACCCACCTCCGCACCAAAAGAATTTCTTGGGATGATGGAGCCCGAGTATTCCTTGAGGGGGATGAGCTGGTTGCAGTTGACGCCAGGGTTGAGGCGGTAGAAGTCCACGGGGCTGAGAGGAGGCTCGGCCAGCTGCCTGATGCTGTCGCATGTGTCGTTGAGGCGCGCCCGGTAGTACTGGTCGCACACCACCGTCAAATTTGCCTTGGCGGGGTCCCTCTCGATGCACACGGCCTGGGAGGGCCTCAGGGAGGAGCAGTTGACAGCGGGGTTGAGCGCGTGAAATGCCGCCTCACACGCCGCATCGGACGCCGCCGGCCAACACAGTTCAACCTGCCGCCCCACCCCCGCACACGTGTCGTTCTGGAAGGACATGGGGAGGAAGAAGGACATCACAGACAAGCATGGATTGACAGGGGAAAGGCTGATCCACAGTGGGTCGATAATCGGGCTGAATGGAATATCATTTCTCCGAATGGAAGAAGCACGTTGGACATAAGGGGTCAAACAGACTGTGGTTCAGCAGTTCGTGGAGTCACAGTGGTGCTGTGTACTGTGTGCTGTGTCCATGCGCAGCTGCCCATGGCTAAGGTTAACCCCCAGATTGGGTCCTCACGAGCAAGGTGTTGTAGAAGACAGAGCAGGGTTGCTCTGTGGAGTTGACGCGCAGCCTTGAGTTGAGGTGCAGAGGAGCAGAGCAGGCGATGCCCTGTGGGCCATGCAGTGGGTCGATGGTACATGCAGGGATGATGGCACATGCAGGGACGATGGCACATGCAGGGACAATGGCACATGCAGAAACGATGGCACATGCAGGGACAATGGCACATACAGGGACGATGGCACATGCAGGGACGATGGCACATGCAGGAATGATGGCACACGCAGGGACAATGGCACATGCAAGGACAATGGCACATGCAGGGACAATGGCACATGCAGGGACGATGGCACATGCAGGGATGATGGCACATGCAGGGACCATGGCACATGCAGGGACGATGGCACATGCAGGGATGATGGCACATGCAGGGATGATGGCACACGCAGGGACAATGGCACATGCAGGGACGATGGCACATGCAGGGATGATGGCACATGCAGGGACGATGGCACATGCAGGGATGATGGCACATGCAAGAGACAATGGCTGGACTATCACAAGTGAATGTTATGGTGGGACAAAGGAGGGCCAAGAAAACTCGCACTGTCCTGCATGAACCGAATGTATGCGCCCCTCGGGAATCTGCAGCATGTAAGCATTTTTAACAGGCGGGGTGCTTGAAATGGTTAATGGATAATGAGTACCTCAAGCATGTGCCGCAGGCAGGCAGTCAGGAACCTTGTTCTGCTGCATGATACCAAGGGGTGCAGCCCTCAGGTACCTTGTTTGCTGCATGATACCAAAAAGAGCAGCCCTCAGGTACCTTGTTCTGCTGCATGATACCAAAGAGTGCAGCCCTCAGGTACCTTGTTCTGCTGCAGGAACTGGTCTAGTGTGAGGGCGAATATGGGATGCACATCGGAGCACCACACGTTGCTCTGCCGCACGGTGTACACCCCCCCCTGCATCTCCTGCACCACACCGGCTCACATATTCAAAACCCAGCACAACCATGTCAGTGAAAGCACGATTGGAGCACGAGGTGCGAGCAGACCAAGAAGCATGCAAGAAAAGTCATAGCATGGGCCATGTTCAGTTGGGCAGGCGCAGGTGTTACCTGCAAGGGTTGGTTACAAACCGGAGCACAGGAGGAGAGCAGCAGGAGGGTGCTACCCGGAGCACAGGAGGAGAGCAGCAGAGGGGTGTTACCCGGAGCACAGGAGGCGGTGTTGGCGAGGGTGGTGCCCTGGATGAACCCTGGGGGACACACACAGGAGTAGCTGCCCTTGCCATCGTTCACACACGTGCCCACCACACACGGGTTGCGAGTGCTGGACCCACACACGTCCACTGAGGGCGAGGTCAGATGAATGGGGTTGGCGTCAGATTATGCTTGAGCATGGGGGTGGGTGGGGAGGGCATGCTGAGGGCGTGGAAGGAGGTGAATGGATCAAGCATCAAAGGGTGTGGGTGCACGCATGGGCATGAGCGGACATTGCACATGTGCAGGTATAGAAGAACCCAACTTTAGAAAGCGAGGATGATGTACCTTTCAGTATAAAAGAACTCAACAGAACTCTCTGTCAAGGAAAAATTCCTTTGATGCACGTGTCAAGAACTTTCAAAATCAGACGATGCAAAATCAGCACTGACCCTTCCCGGTGTATGTTACCATAGGCACAGGTGTACGACCCATCGGTGTTCTTGACTTGAGCAAAGCGAGCGTCAGTGCACTTGCAGCGATTGCTGGTGCCCTTCTTGCTGCAGTTGAACCGCCCACACGGGTTGAAGGCCGGGCCTAGAACGCCGTACTGGAAGGAGCGTGATCCACACGGATCAGCACTGCCTGCTCAATACCTCAGGTGGGAAGGGGGTGTGGCCACAAGGCTAATGTGCTGCGGTACAGACGGAGGGTGAATTCACCAGCTGTCAGCAGAGAGATGCAAAAATCGACAGGTAGAACTATCAGCCTCACTTCTGACGACCGGGAAGAGGCCTGGGAGAGTGTTGATGCCACAAATGCCATCTCCACTGCGAATGTCCATCCGCATGTGGCCCTGGTCGCCCCAGCCTGTGCCCCATGAGTTGCGGATGATCCAGAAGGGCGGCGGCACGGCGGAGTTAAAGGGGCCCGCAGAGAGGTAGCCCACCACCAGCACCACGTGATTCAGGTGGTTGCTGAAACACTCCTTGTCCGCATACTTGCCTCTCTGCCCACACACACACACAGTACATGTGGAGAGAGGACACACAACAGAAAAACATCTTTTGTAAAACATGTGCAAATAAATACTACGAAACATTTAAGCTGAACCGGTCACTCAGTCCAACAGATCTGTGCACAAGAATCCACGTGCACCTTACCCAAGACTGGGTGTGCAAAGGACCAATGGCTTTGTATATATGGGGTTGGTTTCAGTGTCCTAGCATTCCCTGGCTTGCATGTGGAATCATTTCATTAATCTTAAATGATTGCATTCTCGTGTCTTATTTCTTGGTAAGGGAGCTTAATAATGCACACTGTGTGGCCTTGGTTTTTTTTCTCAATTTATATCAGTTTGGGTTAAGGCGCCTTACCCCATTGTAGTCCTGGAAGGAGGGTGCCTTACCCCATCGTAGTCTTGGAAGGAGGGTGCGGACGCCTCGATGTGCACAATGACAGGCTGGCGCTGCACTGCCAGCATGAGCCCAAGCCACCCGTAGAACCCCGTGCGCTCGATGCCGCGAATTCCATAGTACGTGGGGGTGCTCGCCTGAAGGCAAGGGAGAGGAATCTGAAGAGAGAGATAGACTGCAGACAGAATAACATTCATAGAAACAGTGTCACAACCCCCCACCAAAAACAGATACAAGCAACAACGCCTAAACTGAAATAGTCAATACATGCAGCAACTCACCAACGATCTTCCTTCAAGAGCCAGCCCTTGAGAGTACGCAGCCTCCTCCAGCAAGCCCTTGCCGTGCGCGGTGGCGTTGAGGAGGAACTGCAGCGCCTTGGTGGGCGAGTCACCGTCGCAGTTGGAGGAGAGGGCAAGGCGCAGATGCTCCACCGACAGCACGGGGGGCTGCGCCCAGTTGCTTGCAATCCTGTGGGCTGCCTCCACCGCTGCCACCACTGCGTACGCCCAGCAATCACCTGGAGGAGAGCATGAGGGGGGGCACAATGGGATCAGACACATGTACTGTCATAGTTTATTGCGAATAATGATTGCTGGCAGGTTGATCTCAAGATAGCTTGTAGAAAAATGCTCCTATAACATTCACAAACGGTTTGTGGTGGGATGGGAGACAACAAGGTACACAAAGTCTTTTGGTGTCACATGCCCCATGTTGCTCACTCCCACCCACAAACTTGGCATAGACGCAGAAAGAGTGTGCAAGCGTTGTGCGGGAGCATAGCATGGGGAGGGCATAGTGTGCAGAATGATAAGTAAGACCATTAAAGCCAGGGTCTCAAGTGACCAAGTGCTTTGCAATCGATGAAAAACGGGCCTGTTTGACTGGTTTACAAATTTGGGGCCAAAGTTTTGACAAATCGAGACTCTCCAAAGAGCCCACTTTTCGCCCAAGTGCTTTGCAGTTGCACGGCCAGCCCGTACATGAGACCGTGGCTTTAACCTCACTCGATGCGTGGCTACATGTGGCTTCTTTGGCACATTCAATTCTCTCATTTCAAGAACTCTGATCCCCCTCATCACATATTTCAACTCCAAGCCATACCTTTGTTGGTACAATCGTATGGTTTGCACTCAGCTTGCTGTCTTTGTGTGTGCATGCGTGCTTCCATGAAATGGTATAGGAAGATAATATATTTTTCATGTTTATCATATTGTGTGAATGATGAGTCATGATGTCAAATGTGTGTGTCGAGTCAATAGCGAATTTTAGCTAGTCACATGTCATGTCGGCATTTGCGTGTCGTGTGCACTTTCTATTCTGACGTGTGTCGATCACTCGGGGTGTCGCAGGTGTGTGCAGCAAGCATTGAAGAACTCAAGAAAGAATTTATGCTCAAAACCCGGAGTCTTGGTTTCAAGAACCAAGTAATTTCAGAGTTTGCAAAACACAGAAAACACCAAGATAGTGATACTAGTTACATTGTACTGTGTAGTGTATCATAGTTATTTGTGTAGACGTTTGTGGTGGGTGATTTTCACACCGTTCGATGTTGAGGACTATGTGGCACTATTCCAGCTCCCTAGAACTCGACTTTTGGGGTTTGTAGATGCAGAGTAATCCCCTACTCATAACCTTTCTTAAGTTTTAACGCTATAGCTGCTGTTATACCGCTGTTCACTCAAACTATTCTCATGTTGTTTGTTCTTTATTAAATCGTGTAATTCAACATGGAAATTGTACATCACAAAAATGTGTGTGTCTGGAAATCATTTGACCATTATTTTTTTTTCACAAGGGTTCCAAAAACGTTTGAGAATCATTCAGTAATCATCTAACTACCATTTGTATAGCATTTTTGTCATACCAGATGATATGCTGATCTTTCATTAACGGTTTACCAATGTTTCAATGGTTTGTTTAACAGATGATGTTTGTTGAAACAATAATAAGGTTGCATAAATTTGTGTTTCACAATCAATTTATGTTATGGTTGATCGATATAGTTGCAACTTAATCGTGCTTCCTTACTTCTGAGAGGCAGTAAGGTAAAAGATTTTTAATGGGAAAAGTTAAACTCTAGAATCCACTGCCAGGATCTGAACCCTGGTCTTCATAGAGCCAAATATCCAAACTGACTGGACCACAACGGACACATTCTGCTCACGTAATTTATTTATAAAAATTTTGAACGCGCATTTTCCTAGCATCAAAGTGTCGACATCACGCCATGGTCCCCAACCAGCCCAGAAATCTCCCTAACCAACCAAATTCGCCTCAGTCAATCCAGCTCAGCATACCACTTTGCCCAACCAATCAAAGCCAGCATTGCATCCACCTCAACAAAATCAGGCCCAACCACCACCAATCATGCCAACTAACCCACCCCATCCACACCACCTCTCAACACTCTACCCGTTACGCTTGCACAAAAAAGGTGAAGTGGGCTCTCAATTTGCTATTCTAGAGTGGCTGTGATTGATTTCAGTTTAGTTCTTCCTTACCTTAGCACGTTTTCCAATCTCGTTATCTCAACCGCCGCCATAGTCTCAACCGCCGCCATAGTCTCAACCGTCGCCATAGTCTCAACCGTCGCCGCAGTTTCAACTGTCGCCATAGTCTCAACCGTCCCAATAGCTCGTGATTTTTCGCAATTGTCACGAGTGCGCCTAATTGGCCGTGTGTCTTTCCCCTCGTGCACTCCGTTTCTTTGTGTAGGTGTGTGCTCCGTTTCAATTCCTCTTGATCAACATGTGCAGGTCGAAGCTTAGGTCGCGCTGTTTTCTGATTAAGGTCACGTCCGATCCTTCCCTGAGTTAGCCGAAATTGTTATCTAACTAGTGTTGTTGGCTCTGTTTCTACTCTCATGCAGTCCGTTTACTTTGTGTAGCCTTGTGCTCCGCGATGCATATCTCTCTCCGGGATTTAATTCTTTCTTATCCCCATGTGCAGGTCGCGCGGTTTCCAGGTTGAGGTCGCGCTACGTTCCTACTCTTGCGCTTATGTGAACTGCTAGCTAATGAAACGTTTTCGTTCTTGTTCGTTTATTTCGCTGGCAGGCGGTTTTATGCTGTATTTCCTATTAATCTCCGCTTTCAAGTACTCCTTTTTCAGGTAGGCATTATGTTTACATGTCACTGGTTTAAATTCATGGCTAACTCTTATGGTGAACTGCAGGGGTTGCTTGGTGATCTGCAGATGGTTCTGTCTTCGGCCAAGACCATGCCCACATCATGTATAAGACGTAGATCACCCCCTGCAGTAGGCGAGGGTAGTTCTATATATTCCTATCTGCCATTGTGCCATGGATATATTTTACATGTTGTTGGCATTTCTATTAATGGGAAATCTGAATTGTTAATATTAATAACGTTTGTGGAATGTCCAATAATAAGCAGTATGAAGTCAACATTCAAACTCACGTTAGTCTCCAAAATCACTTCGTGAAAACTCATACCAAACGTCAGTCGAAGGTATTCAAGATGCAGTTTTGAACAGAGAAGCATTCGAGTACCATTTGAAAAGCATTTGACAAAGCATTTGGAAAACGACCCATACTTTCTAAAAAAAGCGTTTGAAACCCTACGTTTATAAATCATTTGAAAAAGCTCCAACGAACCTCTATTCATCGGCTTTCTCGACGCTGGATTTTTGTGATGTAGACGGTGTTAAAGCGCTAATGATTCAATTGATAACACGTCATTTAGTGATGTGGTCAGTCTGCTATCAAGTTTCAAACCGCTCTGCAGAAATCAGTCTGTGCACTCTATCTTTCATTTTTGGCACATTTGGGCCTATCGTGACTATAAAATGTGGTATCAGAGCCTCTAGAAGCAGTTTTGACAATTGTTAGACCTGAGAAAAGGGGTGGCAGAGGTGCTAGAGGCAGTGGAGAAGCCCAAGCTCAAGGCCAACCCCGTCCCCCCATGGCTTCTATTAGGGATGGATGAGCAAAATGGCAAGCGCGGGTTTGGTTCGCCCGAACATGTTCGGGGGCGAACCGAAGTTTTATGAAATTTTTCTTTTTTTACATGTTCAGACGCTCGCGTCGCGCACATGGTGAAAACTTCTAGTTTCAAAAAAGTTTAGTTTAGTGGACCCCTTTGCAGGATTCTCAAAACAGGTTTCCATGGTTTAAGGGTGGGTCAAAGGGTGGGAACGGTAAAGGAATGAGCATCCAATATCCCAACAAAAGCTCATATCTTTTAAAACATAAGCAGATTCCCCCCCCCCCCCCCCCCCCCGCCCTGCAATGGGCGAACTCGAAAATATTCGGGTTCGCCCGAAACTGTCAACTGTTCAGCCCCCCCTTAAGATGTTCGCCCACAATGGGCGAACATCGAACAAATCATTTATGTAAAAAGTGTCCGGGCGAGCCGAACATGTTTGGTTCGCCCATTGAATGTGATCGTGACTGTTTGGGCGAACATGTTCGATGTTCGCCCGGTGCTCATCCCTAGATTCTATGCATCCAAGTTTTTGTCGTTTTAAGGATGAGCTTAGAGTGTCTGGCCTTGCCAAGTTCAATATGGACAACTTTGATGAGTGGACCTTCAAGATGGAGAACACATTTGACCAGTATGATCTGCTGCAGGAACGGGAAGCGTCTCGAGGACCCGGAAAAAAAGCCAGTTGGTGCGGAAGAGCACACAAGGTTGTCTCCCACCTATGTTGGAATATACGCGTTTAGTGTATATACGCGTATCGTATATACGCTATCGTGTATACGCTAAACGCTCAGGGGTCAGTTTGGACATACGATTTTTCAAGCAGGGGAGAAATTTTCCCAGGCAGGGTGAAAAAATCGTCGTGCTCAACATCAAGAAGATGTTCACTTTTCTAACTAAGATTTTCGTAGCATTTTCCTAAATCTGAACGGCGATTGGGGTGGGATGTGTAGTAAACATTATCGCTAGGAGTAGGAATCGGAATGACCTCTACTGGAAGCGGGAAAGAAAACTAGAAATGACAAGTGAACTTGGGCGGGCTGGTAAGTAGCGTGAGTGCAATTTGTTTGGGGGAAATTCTACAGGTTGGAGTTTGTAGATGGGAAGGGTTTCAATGTGGTACTAATTGAAATTGTATATCAGAACTGCCAGACGTAACCGATATCTTTGAAGGCAGATTCCCGCTTCCCTAGACCACCGAAACGCATCTCGACTTCGGCGAAATGCTTACCAGGAGATTCTGCATCTTTCCGTACACAATGTTTTTTTCTTGGGCAGCCCAAAAAAAATCTGACTAAACGCTATACGCTTTAGGGTCTGAGCGTATATTCCAACATAGTCTCCCACTTAAACAAGCGTTGGGAAACATCCAAATCTGTCACATCAAACCATGTGAACCAGAGGCAAAACCAAATGCATGGGCTAATCTCAAGGGTGTACATGCTCCTACAAGAGCGTCGATAGTGGTGGTGTTGGAACAGCAAATGGTGTCACATGCCCCGTGATGCTCACTCCTAGGCATGATCATTAGGCCCGACCCGACCCGACCCGACCCGACTTGGGCGGGCCAGCCGGGTTCCGGGTCGGGTCGGATCGGGTCGAAACAGAAAAAAATCCAGGCCCGACCTGGGTATCGGGTGCCGGGTCAGGCGTGACCCGCCCCCGGGTCGGGTCGGGTAGGGGCCGGGTCGGGTCGGGTCGGGCCAGGACCCCATATGAAGTGTGTAGGGGTTTCCTCAGTACTGTCCAGTGTTGCAAAGATTGAATGTTTGTGTAATTTATTATTATATGAATGTCCTCCCATATGTAAACTAACTATTCAAAGTTGTGTAAGCTGTTACACGTGTTTGGAAAAATCCTACAAATGCCTAAAAGCTAACGGAGTCAACTAGTAGTTGGACGCACAGGAATAAGAACCAATCAAGTTTTGGTCCGATCACGTTATCTGATGAAGTTAAGGGCATGAGCATCAATTACGAACAAATATCACAACCCCTTCGATTCATCCTCCACTCCCAGGGTGGGATTGGCCGTTGAGGTGCCCTTGGGAGCGAGAGTCCCCGAAGGGTGGTGGTCCTGCCACGTCTTAATCAGCATAGAAGCACGCACTTGGCCAGCTGCCAGTCGGTGTCGCTGCCAAGTAATGATGTTCCTGCTCTGTGAGAATGCGCGCTCACCCGCTGCTGACGAAGCCGGTACCCCTAGATCATCTTTAGCCATCGCCCTCAAGCCCTTCAGTGTCTCCCTGCTGCGCCAATACTCCAATGCGCTTCCACCCCTCTGCGAGGTACTGATCCACCTCATCATGTGGATCCTCCCCCTCTTCGGCCTCCATGGCGTCCCACGCAGCGAACAACTGAGACTGGATGCTGACATTTGCCGATGCATCCACAGCCCCACCCCCTGCCGATGCATGCACCCCTGCACCCCTCGCACTAGTCACCTCCCCTCCATCTCCCAGCGCCGTGGTGCTGGCTGCGTGGTACTCTGAAAGGCGCGCCCGTACCAGGGCCTTCACCCTATCAGGTCCTAGCTCCAGTGTTGCCCCTCTCGAATTCCCCTCTGCTGCCCTGGCTCGGTGCTTGAAGGGTGCGAGCTTCTGGCGCGGGTCCAAGAAAGTGGCTATCGCTGCCTCCTCGCTCACACCCCCCATGTGCCGCTCCAGCTTGCTCAGAGCAGCAGTGATCAGCGATGAGCGCAGAGGGGAGATGCCAGGAGTGAGCTGTGCCTTCTCCTGCAGATCAATCAGCGCGTTGTACTGCGGTACAACGGCTGAGAAGGTAGGGTAGAGGGAACCCTCGGCGAAGAGGGTGACTTGCTCGAATGGGGTGAGGAAGTCTCGGAGCTCGGCGAGCTCGTCCCAGTGCGCATCCGTCAACCTGATGGCGTCCCACGCCTTCTTAGTCTCCTTGCTGATGGATGACTGGTATGGGTCACATGGGTTGTAAAGATGGAGGCACAGCATGGGATGGTGGCACATGCATGGGATGGTGGCACATGCATGGGATGGTGGCACATGCATGGGATAATGGCACATGCATGGGATGATGGCACATGCATGGGATGGTGGTACATGCATGGGATGGGATGATGGCACATGCATGGGATGGTGGCACATGCATGGGATGGTGGTGACACATGCATGGGATGATGGCACATGCATGGGATGGTGGCACATGCATGGGATGATGGCACATGCCATGCGATGGTGGCACATGCATGGGATGATGGCACATGCATGGGATGATGGCACATGCATGGGATGGTGGCACATGCATGGGATGATGGCACATGCATGGGATGATGGCACATGCATGGGATGATGGCACATGCATGGGATGATGGCACATGCATGGGATGGTGGCACATGCATGGGATGATGGCACATGCATGGGCTGGTGGCAATATTCAAGCCATGCCCACGTTCCCCCAATCGCCATAGTCACAAGCGAATGTGAATCCTACCATACGTACATCTGAATCGTCGAAAAACATGGCAATGGGCATGCGCAGCTCGAAGCCCCTGTTCACCATCTGGAGTGTAGAACCCCATCTCGTCGAGCAATCCACGATCAAACGCAATGGACCCGATGGTCGCCGAGAACCCGGAGGACCCTGGGGCCGGGTCGTCGCGTATCCCTTCTGGAGCTCGAAGAAACGACCTGTGCGCAGTGTGGACCAGCCGATGTAGTTCGCAACGTCTCGCAGCCTCTTGAGTGGCTCGGCCACCTCGTCAACCTTCAGTGCAGCTTGCACTGCAAGGTTGACGACGTGCGCCATGCACCTGTTGGGGCAATGCATTGTGCAGAGTGGGTTTAATGTCAGTGTACCACATAAGCACTGCCATAACAAACATGGTGGACTACGCCACCAGTTTATAGCATACCCGTACGGAGACAGCCCCATAGTACCTGAAGTGCCTCCAGCGACTGAGCAGTGGTGGGTGCCTGGGCCGTGAGCCCGGCCTGGCGTCAGGTACACCGGCCAGCAGACGCATCGCCCTGCTGTTGTTCTCGGCGTTGTCACACGTCACGGCGAACAACATCTTCTCCAAGCCCCACTCCCACAACACCTCCTCCAGCTCATCGGCTATCAAGTCCCCCGTATGAGAGCCCTTAAGCTCCCTGAAGTCTATAACAGCCTGTTTCAGCAGGAAATCGCTGGTGACATAGTGGCCAGTCACCCCCATGAAGGCCACGTTGTTCTCACCGGTCCAGATGTCAAAGGTGAGGGACATCCTTCCCGCCAGGCCATCACCCACTAGTAGCTGCCGCATGTCCTCCCTAGCAGCCTCCCCGTATGCCATCATGTCCCGTGCCAAGCGATGGCGTGAGCCGAGCAGTAGCGCAGCTCCCGGGTTCAGCATCTGGACAAAGGCTCTGAACTGTAACGCAGGAGTCAAAGGAGGTCGGTAAAAAGATTTTGAGGTGCTTCGGGATTAGCCACCAGAATGCAGTGCGGCTGCCCTGCACTTATATGACCACATCAATACGAAGATGAACATGACCAACGGCAAGAGAACGGCGTCACTCACCTCGCGACACTCAACAAGTCGAAACGGAAGGTCAGCTGCCGCAAATAGCTGCACCAATCCCTCGCGCAGCTGCTGGCCATGAACACGCGGCGTGACGAATGCGGCCATGCTCATCTGCCTACTCCCACCAACCTCGGATCCGCCAGTCACTGCGCTGTCTGGTGTCTGTACAATCCTGGGCCACGTGGCTGCATGCTCCCAAGGCCACGCTGTCTGGTCGGGGACATCCGGACCCCATCCCCCATCGGGAAACGTCAGGTTGTCTGGCTTGTTTCGATCCTTGAAACGCCGACACCAGATCTGCAGACTGGGGTAGTGGCTCCTCTTGAGGTGTCTCTTCCCCGTGCTCGTGCAACTACCTTTCCAGCTAATCTTCTTCTTGCAAATCTTGCAATTCCTAGCCTCTTTCACATCCTTCTCACTGAACATGCCACGAACCAGCCCGGGTTCTGCATTCCTAAGCACCTCCTCAGTCCATGGGTCCAGCTCCTCATCGGTAGGGGTCCTGCCCGCCCTGTCGGACCTCTGGCTTGCTCCAGCCACCGCAGACCCACCCAAAGGTGCAACACCTGCCGCAGCGGCGGAGGTACCTGCCCCTGCTGCGCCCGACCCCTCAGAACCACCCGCGGCCGCGGCTGCCCCCTGCGGCTGCGAATTCGACGCCAGCCCGGCCCCTCCAGCTCCCGACCCCACAGGCCCACTCGTGCGTGGCCTCTTTGCTGCTGCACTGCTGGCACCAGCCTGGCCCCCTCCTCTCCCTCCCCAACCCTCATCACCCGATCCTCCACTCGTGCCGGCCGCCTCCCCCGGAGCCGGCCTCCAATCCGGGTCCTTCTCCTTTCCCCGTGTTCCTTGCTTCTCCGTCACTGGGCCAGGTCCTTGAGACTCCCATTCCCGCACCTCTTCACGCCTCCTCGTCGCGATTGCATCGTCCCACCCAATTTCCTGCCCATTGAAGACGCTCCCCAAGCAAAAACTGGCCCTGGATGCCGGTGTCGGGAGGCCTCCAAGCGAAGCCCCAGGAATAGCGCGTGAGCTGTCTTCTTCCCCCTCCATTCGCGTGCAAGCGACGTCTATTACGTTTCGGACCTTGGAGTCGCAACGTTTTTGTAATGGCGCAGGCCTAGACAATTGGGGGTCGCGTCCCTAAAGATGCGGGCGTGGTAGGCGCACAGTGGGCGATTTGAACGCGGGGCCAGAGTTTACACGCGTATGAGAGCTATGAATAACTAAGTTTTTAAAATCGAAAATCTGTGGTTGGTCGCGCTAGGCTACGAAGCCCATTCCGCCAACATTGAAACACTTGAAATAGGGTTCCTAAACATGGGCGCTGGTTTAGAGAGGTCTTGAGCTTGAGAACGAGCTATTGCTAGTTGCCTAGGTATAGCAGATCGAACTCAATGTCGAGGGACCAAAAAACCCCAACACAATGACTTCGCGATCTGTTTAGGTTCGAATTGTCGTGGGAGAGAAACTCGGGTCGGGCATTTGGCCCGACCCGACTTAGGGAGCGGTACCCGATGTCGAGTCGGGTTAAATTTCGGGTCAAAAACTGACCCGACCCGGTTTCGGGTGTCGGGTCGGCCCGACCCGCCCGGGTCAGCCCTTCAAAGTGCCTGACCCGACCCGGGTCAAAACCCGGGTCGGGTCGGGTCGGCCCGGCCCGCCGGGCCAGGATGATCATGCCTACTCACTCCCACCCACAAACTTGGCGAGGACCCACAAATAGTGTGCGGGACTCCCGCATGAGCATTTTCTCGAACCTCAAACACGTTTGAGTCGAACATGTTCGTTTCGAACATGTTTGGGGGTTATTTTTGGGAATAATGTTCGCCGGAACATGTTCAAGGTTCGATCCGAACATGTACGGTGTTCCGAAAGTTCTAAGGGGAAATTTCCGAACACCAAACATGTTCGGAAAGTTTCCCAGCTTTTCCGAACATTAGATGTTCGGAAAAAACCAGCGCGACAAATGTCGCGCTGGTTGGATGTATTTCCTACAGAAAGCTCAGATCGATGTCATTTTGACCTCGATCTACTTTTTTAGGTTAAGTTCAGAGGAGTAAGGATAAGTAGGCTCATTTGATGGCCCACCTGAACAATTCCTGAGAGTAACTTAGGTTAAATAGCCGTTAGTCGTTTTTGTAAGTAACTTAGGGTTTCACAGAATGATCGGTTAATGACTCCAATCCTAAAAAAATAGATACCTATGGGTGTGTAAGTCCTGCACTATCGTTTGTAGAAGTGCGCTTTTAAGACTTCATGGCGAGGGATCTGGTGGGAGGAGGGGGGAGGCGATGAAATCTGTGGTGAAATCTACTTAGTGTCAGAATCTGCCAAGTCCACATTTTCAAACATCAAACATGTTCGAAGTTGACCAAACATGTAGATGTTCGGCAAACCTAAAGATGTTTGCCCACCTAAACCAAACACCGAACATGGAAATCTGAAAATAATGTTCGGCCGAACCAAACATGTTCGGTTCGGTTAAGAAAACTGTTCGGGGACATTCGGGCAAACACGTTTGGTGTTCGCCCGTTGCTCATCCTGCAGTGGGAGCATGGCATGTGGAGGGCATGGTGTGCATAATGGTAAGTACCACCATTAATCTCACTCGATGCGTGGCTACACGAAGCTTCTTTGGCGCATTCAGTTCTCTCATTTCAAGAATCCCCTCATCACAAATTTTAACTTCAAGCCATACCTTGCGCCTATCCTACCGTTCACACCTTTTGCGGCCATACAACTCACCGCAGCCCCGTTGGTTCATGACAGGCCACACGAATTCAGGCAGGACCCAGGTGCTGTAGGACCTGACAGACCACGCAGGGCTGTTGTCCTGCGCGGGGTCGAAGCCTGCACTGGCGTAGTGGAAGAAGGAGTTGAAGCCCTGCGATGAGAAAAAGTCCACAAATCCCAACGCCAAGTCTGGTGCACGGAAGGAGGAGTGGGAGTTACGAGGGTTTGGAGTTCAGAGGAGAAAACAGTGTTAAGAGTCAAGGGGAGAAACAATCTATAGGAATAGACTCATACGCGGTGAGAAAAGCCAAGCATACTCACATGAAGGGTCAAATCGTGGGTTGAGCGGAACATCTGCACCCACAGTAGCAAACCACATAGACGGAGTGGGATAGTGGCAAGCAGTAACAAAAGGCATTGATGTGGAGGCATAATCCAGTTGGATACAAGCGACAAGAGGAGCGGGACAAGTCTTAACGGTAGTGAAACCGAAACGTGTATACCCCATGAAAATCAGCCTGAGTCACACACACCTGAGAGGCACATACTTGAGGCACATGCCTAAGAGGCACATACAAACATGAGAGGGGCATACATACCTGAGATGTGCATACCTGCAGTGAAGGTCCAGTTGAGGATCAAGTGTGCTTGTGGGCCAGCGGTGGACGCCGCTTTGAAGCCAATATAGAATGAAGCACTGGACGCCTTGGGATGTAGGATGGAGCAGAGGGAAAATCGAGCTCGAAGGGTGGGGGTGGGGGGCTGCTGGGGGTCGGAGGAGAGGAAGACTCGGAGAGTGCCGCCACTGGTGGGGTCGTAGTGGATCCAGGCGTGCTTGGTGTGGCCGTCATTGAGGATGAGAGGGGCCGTGGCAGAGGCGAGGGACACAGGTGAGCCGCCCACATTGACGCCCACATGGTTGTCGTTGGGGTCGCTGTGCTTCACACTCAGCACCGAGTCAAACTCCACCGCCACACTCCGCTTCCCCACCCCTCCCAGCCGGTCTGGCAGCGCCGCAGAGATGACAAACACGAGCCCATCCCCGCCCGCCTCTGAGTCCGGGTCGAGGGAGAAGGCAAGGGATGCGTTGAAGGCGAGCTGGTAACCGCATGTGGCCTTGGTGTTGAAGTAGGAGAAGAGGGGGAGAGGCGCCGCTGTGAAGGCCGTGCCCCAGGTGGCGTTGGCCTTGGGGGTGAGCAGCAGGTCGCCATCAGCAAAGCGCTGCACCGAGCCATTCAGCATCATGGGGGTGGCAGCAGAAGAGGCCACCACAGGGTCGACTGGAGGGGAGAAAGAGAGGACGGGAAGAGGGAGAGATGGAGTGGGAAGATGCACAAATGATGACATAGTGTTGATGGTGATCAAGTAGCATTTGCTCATACATTACTTAGCTTACTTGTGTACGTGCAAGTGTGGGGATCGTTGCGAGTGGAGTAGTGCTCCTCACAAACACACTCAGCGCTACTACTGCTGTCGTTCTTGAGGCAGTACCCATGTCCGCTGCACAGCACTCCGCCCTGGCCCACCCCGCAGAACGCGGAGCAGCTCTCCTTGCTGCGCTGCTCCTGGTTGAGCCCACAGAGGGTGGTGGTGGTGAGCAGGCAGTTTTCGAAGAGCCAGAGGCGCACAGCGGAGCAGTTCTTGGGGCGGGTGGGGGCGGAGGAGAAGTAGTTGCTCTGCACGTCCACCAAGGCCAGGCTCTTGGAGGCTGGCATGGGCACGGCTCCCGTGAACTGGTTGCCTGACACGATTCTGCAGGCAGCGATGGCGACGGGGATGGGGAGGGAGATGGGGACGGGGATGGGCATGGGGATGGGGATGGGGATGGAGATGGGGATAGGAATGAGGATGGAGATGGGGATGGGGATGGGGATGGGGTTGGGGATGGGGATGGAGTGTTAGTGTTAGCCCTCAATCTCACATTTTGTGTTTCTACTTTTAAATCTTAGTTTAGTGTAGTTTGCAATTCGTGTTTGGTTGGGTGTACACCCACATCCCAACCAAACCCAAATGTGATCTCCAAGCAATCTCCAACCCACCAATTGGAGATTGCCTTGGGATTCAAAGCTCAAGTTCTGACATGGAGACGGGGATGGGGATGGGGATGGGGATGGACATGGTGATGGAGATGGGAATGGGGATGGAGTTGGGATAGGGATGGGGATGGAGATGGGAATGGGGATGGGGATGGGGATGGGGATGGGGTTGGGGATGGGGATGGAGATGGGGATGCGGATGGGGATGGGGATGGGAATAGGGATGGAGATTGTTGACGGGAGTGGGTTGTTGGCCCCGCCCTCGCTTGGGTGACGCTGACTTCCTTCGTCATGCGCGCGGGTGGTGCGGCCGACTGTTCTGCAGGGTTCGACACGTGCTGGTCGACGGAGTTGTCGACCTGCAAACGACCGCTGCAATGCCGCCTTCGACGGGAGCCGGCAAACGTGATCGACAGGGTTGACGAGGCAGTTCGTCAGCATGCGCAGGTCTATCAAGGAGCTGCTGATGGAGCTCTATGGCTGCAGTCGACCGTGTTGGTCAACGAAAGGGTCCGTCGACCAGGACGGTCCTCGACGGGAGCTGTGGTCGACGAGGGAGGCCGTCGACCAGGGCTCTGGGTGGTTGGCCCGGTCTACCAAGTTACCTCGCGAGGTTCTGCGGAGGCACGCGAACGACGCCAAGGCTGCAATGGCGAAAGCGACTTCGGGCTGGTATCCCAAAGTCGATGTGGCTCGTCAGGCACAGACAATAGCCAACAGATGTGTGACGGTGCATGTCCGGCCAATCGTTGGCGCACACTTGCAACCGTGCGCACTGCCGTCTTCTACGTGTGCAACGCTGGACGCCGCCTTGCTCCCACGTTGGCACACCGTTGACCTGCTCTGTTGTCAGGTCGCCCTTCTGAAGCGCTGGCGCGGCTACTCTACGCAACGCTAGCAGGCAATCGACCATGCTGTGCTAGCAGTCGATCTGCCTGGCTGATAGGTTGCTAGACACTGATGTCATCATTCTTTTCATTGGTAGTTTAATTATTCTGTAATCTCAACTTTGCTAGTGGAAAATCTTGGCAAATCTTCCCGTGATTGTGCAAGTGGTAAGTGAACCGCAAGGAACCTTCAAACTAGTAGCTGACTTTTCACTTACCTAAGTCGTTCGTAGGCCAGCAGCCGTCTGAGTCACTAAGGTCGACCCCATAGTTGAAACGGGTGTAGCGGACACCTTAGAGGCTCGATTGTCTGATGCCAGGAGACGCCACGCGGCTCGCGAGTTCGGGCAGGTGCTCCCCTTGGATGTGGTTGTCTTAGGAATCAGTGCGCAGTGGGCGACAAAACACCCCTCCCGACCTGCTTCACCTCGACCGGTGCGAAACGAAGGCGGCGTCCACGAGGACGTCCACTGTGGTCACCAAGTCAGTGGCAGCGAGGAAACGAAGAAGAGAGGTGTGATCAAGGCCGAGGGTGGAGTCGGCGGGAGCCAGGCGCAACTGCAGCGGTCGACGGCGGTCGCTGGCAGCCCGCACGTCGACGTCTCTCACTCCAGCGAAGCAGCGGGAGGCCCACATCGACGACGCACGTGACGGCGGGTGGGATCGCGCCTGCGTATGGTTACTTTAAGTTCTCGCCAGACAAGATCGCCGTCCTAGTGCCGTTGCAAGATCGACGGGACCTCGCCACGTGGATGGAGTCTATCAAGCCCCGGCTGGAGATTGTCGGGATGAAGGGTTTTTTCGACGGCGACGTAGACGACGTCGAGCTACGCACGGAGTTTCATGCTGCCCACCAGGCTTGGCGGTTCATCCTGTCCACGTACCAGGAGACAGGTGATCTGTACATCGATCAGCTGGAGAAGCAGATGACTCACCTCCAGATGGGCGAGCAGGGGTCAGCGACGGACTACTGCAACCGTGCTCGACGGATCTTCGCCGAGATGCGCATGGCGGGCGTTGATTACTCGATGGCGTCATACATCACGCACGTCGTCAATGTTGTCCCGAGCAGCTACAACTTCTTGCGCCGGATGATGGTGGTGCTCGTAAGTCGCTCGACGAGGACACCCTCACCAGCTACATCATCAGGGATGAGGCGATGCAGAAAGCAGAACGTCCCACGGAGCTCCTTCTGCAAGCGAGCTACGCTGCCCCGACAAAGCAGAGTCGACAGCAGGGGCAGCGTGGGAAGCATGGCGGAGGTGCAAGCAGAGGTGGGAGGTCGACGACGGAGTCGACCAATCGAAGTCGCCGCGTGACAAGGGTCGTGGAGGTGGTAGTCGACGGTGGAATGCTGGATTTGCGGCGACCCCAACCACCTCTCCTTCGAATGTCTTGACCACGACGACTCTGACAAAGACGACCAAAAAGGAGGCCGCGGGAGGCCGGCCAATGGTCGCCGAAGTCGGGACGACAAGCTTGCAAGAAGAAGCAGACGTCGAAGAAGACGTCGTCGACGAAGGACGTCGACTCCTCCAGCGGCAAGGTTCAAGACGACGGGGAGGCGTCGTGGTCGATGGTCGGCGTTGTGGAGCCGACCCTTTCGCTTGCGCCAGAAGCTGGGGAGGACTTCAAGGCGGTCGCGGCCTCCATGCAAGCGAATCTGATGGTGGTGCTGCTCGACAGCGGTTGCTCGCACCACTTAACGGGGTCGAAGGAGGTCTTCGTCGACATGGTGCCTAGTGGTGACGTGAAGCATGTTCGCGGCTTCTACGGGGCTTTGTAGACCGTCGAGGGTTGTGGCACTGCCACTCTGCAAGGGGAGGCCGAGAAGTAGGTCCTCATCCCCGACGTGCTCTGCGTTCCGGCCAGCTGAAGGAGAGCGGTGTGAAGTTGCAAGACGACGGCGACGTGATGCTCCTCGTTTCAAGTATAGGCGAGGTGCTTAGTCGAGCACGGTACACTGGCCGCATCCTCTTCACTGACCTCCGTCGAACATGGCTTTGGCTTGCAGCAAGCTAGGGAGCGGCCTCACGGTGAGGAGCGAGCGGCACTGGCGCGAGGTCAACCGCTGCCTCGCCTACCTCGCGGACACCCGTGACACCGCCCTACAGTTTAGCTGTGGACCAGAGTCGCTGTGCTTGGTCAGCTACGTGTATGCCAAGTGGCTACGAAAGGGGCGATAAGCTGAACCGGAGGAGCTCAGGTGGCTACGTGTTCATCTTTGGAGGGAGCGCTGTCTTCTGATCGAGCAAGCGCATCAAACGCGCAATGCTCTCCTCGACCGACGAAGAGTACGTCGTGGCCACGGAAGCCGGCAAGGAGGGACGTCGACTTCGTTTCCTTCTTGCAGTGTTCTAGCTGCTCGACGCTGGGACGGCAACTGTCCTTCGTGTGGACAACCAGTCCGTCATCATGGTCGCTGAGAGCTTGGGGCAAGGGCAACTTCAAGCACATGGAGCGACGCTACGCCTGGCTGCAGCAGATGGTGAAGCGCGGAAAGTTTGTGCTACAGTACATCTTGACCATCGAGCACCCGGCCGACTTCCTGACGAAGTCTATGCACTCTCCGGCCTTCAAGTGGTGCTCTATCGCGATCGTCCAGGTGCGCCTCCCGGACGTCGGCGACGGTGATGACGACATGCTGCAGTAGGTGCAGAGTCTTTCTACGTGGCAGGTGTGGTGACGGCGTGCAGTGTGTGGGGTACACGCCAAGGACGAGTTTTCTCTGTAAAGCTCTGCCCTGTGCCCAAGCGTGAGCGCGGCAGGGGAGTGTTGACAAGAGTGGGTTGTTGGCCCCGCCCTCGCTTAGGTGACGCTGAATTCCTTGGTCGGGAGCGCGGGTGGTGCGGCCGCACAACAGCAAGGAGGGTATAATACGAGGATATGGAGAAATATCAACGGGTGTGGCAACCGAGTGAAAGCCATGTTAGACTATACGCTCAAAACCCTTTGCATTTAGCATATGTACGCTAGTGCGTACACGCAATACGCTAAACACTAGCGCGTACACGCAATACGCTAAACGCTAGCGAATACGCGATACGCAACCGTAAACATTTTCGGGCAGCCCGAAAAAACAACTGCGGAAATTATGCGGATTTTCTTGGTGAGCACTTCGTCAAAGTCGAAATGCAAATCCGTGGTATAGGGAAGCTGGGATCTGACTTCGAAGTTTTTAGGCACATCTCAAATCAAAAAGTCAAAATTTGGATCTCATCTAGGCATTGGAACCCATCCCTCTACCGCATTGAAAACCACATCATCCACAAACTCCAACCTATCAAATTCAACCCCCCAACAAATCTCACGCTAGTACTTACCATCCGGCCCAACTCCTAACCTGTCATTTCCTACCTTGCATTCTCGCTTCCAGCAGAGTCCCCGCACATTCCTACTTGACAGGCCTCTCCAACACTACACCTCTCTCTAGATATGATGTCTACCCACGCCCCACCCCACCACCCATCGGACTCAGGAAAATACTAGGGCACGTTTTAGTGAGATGAGATAGGCAGTACATTTTTTCCACCCTGCCCGAAATGATCTTTCCCTGCCCAAAAAAGTGCATGCTTAATCCGACCCTCAAGCGTGCTGCGTGCAAACGCTAGCATATATACGGCACAAATATATACGCTAGACACGTTTAATCCAACATAGAGTGAAAGAGGATGTAGAAAATTGCCACACCAACCAAATAAACGAGAATCTTGAGCAGGCACATGAGGTTCAGTGGTACACACGTCATGCTACGAGCCACTTTGCGTGCCACACGCTCGCCGCCTACACTTGACCTCCTTCCCTTGGTGCTCTGGAGTCTGCACTCAGCTTACAATGTCTTCAGGCTTGTCATGCGAGCCACAATGGGCGCCAGGGGTCCTGACA